GTTAAAAAAAATGTAGGCCCGCAAACAGCGTTGCTAGTTAGCCTATTGCATAGACACAGTTTTTGTGGAACAGTTTTTCAAGTTGAAATGAGGGGATGTAACCAGCTGCGCCTGCATGGCCTTCATTTGAGGTGATCGTGTTATCAATGGTTTTTATTCAAATGATTTTATTTATACATAGGCCTACATATGCCTAATTACGGAGGTCCGGACCTCCTGACCTCATACGACAATGCTTGTAACCACTCAATTCAATTCTATTCAAATTAGCTTTATTGGCATGAATGCTGTGTTGAAGGAAAGTGTGTAGGCTAAGTGCGTGCCCCACACACAGTCGTGTCATATGCGCATTTCTACCATGCAGCACCCCTAAGCGAAAATGTCTTCCGCGCCTGGCTTCAGTTGAAAGTATGTCCTTACAGATCAGTGTTGCTGATTGATCCATGAATGAGTAAAACCTGGTGGCACGAATAAAAGGAGTGAAGTGTAGCCTATAAATTATTAATACAATGCAGAGGGTGTCTTTTGAAAACGCCTTTGAGGGCTAAATTGAGGTCTTGAAGTTAAAGTAGCCTACAGCTTGGTCTCACATTCTAAAAAAGGACACCATAGAAGAAGATGGGAATGTTTCATGACGATCCATCCATCCATCGTCAACCGCTTATCCTGCGTACAGGGTCGTGGGGATGTTTCATGACTTCATACAAATTTTATGTTTGTTGAGTCATTTCTGCCACAATCAGTCTGCTGCAGGACAGCAGATAAGAAGTCTTTTGTTTGGGGTGACCGATCCTGGGCCCCCACCCATTTCCCTTCACCCTCACTGCCACTGATTCCATCCTTCCTCCCCTTTCCTTCAATTACATCCCCTCACCCCTCATCTCTCCACTTCCTACACTCTACATAGCAGCCCTCCAACTTCTGAAAAACAAACAAAAGTTGACCCCCCCCCCCCATGAACAATTTCTTTTTAAATTATGTAATTGGCAATATATATTTTATATAAGCCGACTCCACTTTTGAAATAATTCACAAGTAAACACTTTTTGAAGGTTTAATTTATGTCCCCCCATGTATCCTGCTCACTTATGCTGTGTTCCAGACTGGTCGGAAAATTTCCAAGTTAAAATATCCAAGTTAAAATATCAGACTTCTGAACCTCAAAGTGTTCTTTGTCAATTGTACACAGTTGCACCCTCAGCAGTGCCCTTGGTGTTAATCATGGACTGTATAAAAAATTAGATTAATTAAAAGGTGCCGTTTTAATGAAAACAAGTAAATACAACAAAACATAAATAGACTACTGTTAACTGTGGACCCGTCTACATCAGCTGGTAATCCTCAAAAGTCAGTAAATGTTGTAGGCTGTACTTTCTAATGATTTCAAATGTTTTGGCGTTTTTTTACATTTTGCTGCAACTTTTGTGCAGAGAAGATGACTCAGAGATTCTTTAGTGTAACCAGCTACCTAGCAACATATTTCTACATCAATGTACATGCAGAACAGGTTGTGTTATTGTAATTCAAATACATGCAAATATACTTTGTTACTTTTTAGTTTATGGTTTACCATAGACAATGTGTGCTTCCAGGGGAGCTGCCATTGTTGTGTGACTTCATTCAGCTGCTACACATGAAGTCGGGGGAACATATTTTTACTCACTTCATAAGTAGGAAATTCAACTTTAAGTGGCGTTCAATTGTGCTTTTTCTAGTTGGAAGTCGGAAATTTACGAGTTCCGAGTTGCCTTAAAAACGTAACCAGACTGTGTTTACATACCCAAGCGAAATAACTTATCCCCAGCCAGATCCATATTGAGAGGTAGCTAGATTGCTAGTTTGCTAGCTAATGTTACATTGAGAAAATTCTATGTTTGTGATCCCCCTGTAAGTTGTAATTAGATCTGTGCTCTTGGTAGCAGCTGAGTAGTAGTTTAATATATTGTAACTGTGGCGAGCAACAGAGTTGAGTTTGTAGAGGCAATTAGCAAGTTAAACCACACTTCAAACTTCATTGGCCCTTATTAAATCAAACTATATTTATTTTGTGCAACTGTGTCTCCAGATGTCAGGGAAATATAGGCGTCATTGAAGGCGTCAAGAAAATAATTTAAAACAAAAACTGTGGTCTTAATTACCTTGATTACATGAAGTTAGTGAAGAATGTTTGCATCGAGCGAATATGGGATTTCATCACTATCATTTAAAAAAAGTAATTGGTAGGTAAGTAAGTATTTTTTTCCACCGTTCACAATGTACCACAAAAAAACAAGGGGGCTAAAGATACATGCTCATGATTGACCCTCCGGAAATCTTTCTTTCATGCACACACACACACAAGAGCTATTATCTTGTCACTGTTAACATGAGATGGGTTGGCTGTCTGGGAGTGATTAGTGGCCGCGAAGGGGTTAAAGGCATGTGTGCGCTCGTATGGTTTCTGTGTGCATGTGTGCGCGCTGTATTGTGTCTGATAGACATTCTCCCACACTCTTGCCCTGTGGGACATAGGAAAGGCAGGCAGATGGCTGTATTCAGGTCCACCACGGGTCAACATATGGCCCAAAGAGACAAAGTTTGTTTGTGAGGCAGAGCATCGCACTCTTACTATGCATGGGTGGAGGAAGTTGAATGAGTAGGCAGGAAGGGGGGAAAAGTAATTGTGGGTTCAGAAAAGAACCTGCGAAAAAGAAGTAGTGATATAAAGAAGTGATGGGATAATTTGAGAGAATGAAAGTGGGCGGCTTCCTGTGAGATCATACAGGTTATTAAATGTACTAACATGGTCATCTGTAGATTTGTTAGGATGCTCTGAGGAAAATAAGGCCAGCCTTTTGAGGCAGTGAGACTTAATTCTTTACTTAAATATCCGTCTTATATACTATACTACAAATTATTTAGGAATAAATTGCTATTTGGCTACAGTGCACTTCAGTGATAGCATCCTTCTGTTAGCATCAAAATTCTGATTCTTATGCAGTACTAATACCTGTTTTAGGACATGTGGATGTATACAGTTGTTCAGATTGATCAGTTTACTACTTGATATACACTGTTTTGGACCCCAATTCAGTATTTCATTTTATCATTTTATCAGCTTATTATTACCAAATTTTCAGGGTTCAACAATTATTTTATACTCGATTTGGTGATTTCAGTTTGTGTCTGCCGACTGAACTAAAGTGAATTGAAATGAGGTGAGGTGCTTCCAGGAATCCTAACCCAGATCGATAGTCTCTGTCATGTTCTCACACTACAAAAGACTTCAACCAGTCTATGTGAAAAACTGTTGCTGAATTTAAGCAAGTCATCAAATCGAGAGGATGAATGCAGGTTTTACTTGCAAACCCCCAACACCTCCTTTCTTGCTTCTTGCCCCTCCTTCTTCTGCTCTGCCCTCCCTCCCTCCATTCACCGCTCCTCTTTGTGAATGTGTTGGGTGATATTGTGATGCATGGTGGAGTAGGAGGGACTGGAGCGGAGCCGTGTACAGCAGCACAAAACAGCTGTTGCTGAACTCTCACAATCATCCCTCAATTTCACTTGAGTCTTCAGTTTCCCTCACTTCATACAGTTTCTGAGACATTTACGTAAAGGTATCCATATTCCTCTTTTCCTACACTGTGCCCTCTTCTACTCTTCCCACCTCTAATAAACTTCTCTTTTCTGCCTTTCATTTTCCTCCAGCCTCCTGTAGAGGCTCTTAATTCTCTTCATCTCATTTCTTCTTGCCCACTCTCTCAAATTCACCCTCCTCCACCGACTTTCTACAATTCTGTCTCCTCCCAGGCTATCTCTCTAATGCCTCCTTAGGGAGTCCCCCCCCTTCTTTCCAGAAGTGTTTAACGGGTTGCAACAAATGGGCAAAAGAGTGGGCTCTAGTCAGGTGCTGCACATTTATGCAGACACCTCACTCAGTTTCCCTGACTGTTTTGTTCCTACAGTTGTATAGAAGTTCCAAAAACCAAACTATCTGGCTGTCACCTACGATGCAATATGCAGATCAGCTGGGACTGAGTGGCAGTCTGCTTATAACCAGGCCGGTTATTCAACTTATCTTTAACTCTTAAGCTCATTCAAGTACTCTTGTGTTGAGGGCCTCCATACTGACTTAAGGACATAACTCAGTTTGAGTGCTAACCCACATTTTTAGACCAAATAAGTTAATCATATATCAAAAGGGTACTCCAGCAATGTAGTATTGCCCATCCGTGAAGTTGGCAGACTTGCAATTTACAGATTTAAAAAAATTATCAAAAACAATGTCGCAGAGGCCAGGGTGTCTGGACTTTTAGTCCCTAGCATGGGTCAAGTCCCTAAACTTCTCTCTATGCAATCAACAGCAACTCTCCTATTGGACCCTTTGTCCCTCCCTAACTCCATACTGGCAGTTTGTAATGCAGGAATTTGTCATGGGTAAAATTGGTGGAGTGCTTCTTTAAGATGCAGCCCAAATCATGCTCTTTCTCTCCTCTCACTAATTCACAACAGGTTTATGAACAAACATTGCTCAGAGTTGGGTGGTTGTTGTTTCAAGCTTAGTGGAAAAGAAGGAGCCTCTAAACAGATGTGGTGACACTGTCTGTAGAAGAGAGAAATAACATGTCGGTGCATACTTTATTAACCAAAACATTTTTGCAGGAGTGGAAAAACTTTAAAATCAAATTACTAAATGAAACTTTCAAATACATATCCTTGCCATTACTTCAGAAAAACATACAGGATACCTGCCTGTATATTAGCTGCAGCTCTTTTGTCTAGATGTACTGTACAATTTTCTAAACTTTATTGTCCACATCATTTGGCCAGAGCATGATTTTTGCCCCACAATATTGACTGCCCTGTTACATGCAAATTCCACTCTGATGTTGTCATTCATGACAGTAGCTATTATTTCAGATATCCAATGAAGTACCTGGGCTAGGGTTTCTCCTTGTACAGTAAAATAAAACTTTTATGTTGTATCAAATATTGGAAGTTATGACAATTGGGAACACATGTGGATACATGGAATGACCTTTATTGTGTGAAACTATTACATTGATGGCAGTGGAATACTGGAACACCGTCGGGTGTACTTTATTAGAGCAGAGACAAAAATAAAAAGCAGAGAGAGCACCATAATCCATGAACTTTTGAAGTAATGTCAACTATAAGGAAAATCCAGAGGGTTAATATCTAAAGTGTAAATTATTGTACCTAATCTGACTAATCTGGATTTTACTGAAATTTGGTAAACTTGTTCTCAGATTAACCATGGTTTTCTTCAAAACTGAAGTTACAGATTGGCCTGCTGGGACAGAAAACTTTGATACTGAATATCTGACAAGTACAGCACACTCACATACAGTAGAAGCTCTTAATACTAGCCTCATGATATGGATAAACAACATGAAAGAAATATTAATAACTTAAGCAGAGGTTATGGGGAAGGGGCCTGCTGTTGCACAGTGAAATGTGAAACGCAGAGGAGTAATAAAAGGGCAAAAAGTTAAGATTACACCACCATTCTTGGCATAATTTGTCATGTTACGACATGACCTTAATTCTTTTTTTGACGTCAATAAAATGAAAATAGAGTTGATTATTTTTGTGAAAGGGGTATGTACACATCTTGTTTTATCACATATGAATTGTAATAACAACAAAGCATTTGAAGAATTACTAGAAGAAACTGATGATCCAGACAAACACTGGGTGTATATCAAAAAGATAAACTAGAGATTTGAGAGAACAAGGTAGAAAATAGTAGGAGACTCTGGACATAACTTGCCTACATGATAAATCAGTAAATTGGTAACATGAAAATAGAGACAGCTTTATGTGTCCCTCTAGTGGCAAAAAGAGGTAACAGCATCTACCAGACAGATTCATTTCTTTATCACTGTATCAATGTGATGATATGCGTTTCTTGTTGAACGGGCCTTGAGGTGCTCCTCTCACAACATTATGGTTCCATTTAGAGAAAATGTTTACAGAAGATATAATAAAACAAACTGCACATTCTTATGGCCTCACAGCTGATTTAAGACTCATGTTTGAGGACACTTTTATACAAAGCAAGGTGCCATTAACAAATGTAACCCATAAATCCATGTGAAATGATTTGAAAACTTTACAAAGTGATTCAGTCACATTTGCAACTTACTGTATGCTAGGAAAATCCCACTACTAAACATTTACATATCAATGCTGTCCAAAGGTCAGTTCTGAAATGTGATGTCAATAATATCACTTCAGAGGAACAGAGTGATAAGTACCGTAGATGCTATTCAGCCTTCAATTTTGTAGAAAAACGAGGCCCTGAAACTGTTATCACGCCTAATAATATAACGTAATTAAACGAAAACTTCTGTATTCTAGATTTGCATTTTCCTTAAAATGAACTGAAATTTAAATGACGTCATGAAACTCCCAGCTCCTAAAGGCAATCTGCTTCAAGGCAGAGCAAAGCACCAGGAGCTGTTGACGTACCAGGTGTAATGATTTTGAAAGGCTCACTATCTGTTATTTGGAGGGATGCTAGAAGAGATGGAATGGCAGTTGGCAGTCCTAAAATATCATCCAAAATGATATCTTATCCTAGATTCTGCTGGTTGTTTCATTTTCAATTATTTAATAGTATGCACTCAGTTCTTTTTATTTGGGCACTCGACATTGCAACACATTACAAAGAACAACCTTGTGATTTACTATACATTCACATTTTTGTATTCACAGCCACTGACACTCGCTATTTATTTTCAAAGCTCAGCCAAGTGGGCTCAGGCGGGGCCAGGCTCCACTTATTTAGTGAAACCTAAAGTTGAGAACATTATACATAATTTCACTCAGATGGGAAATAACCTCTATCAAAACCAAGATGCAAAAGGAACAAAACATGTATTGTTCTATATAGAGTACCACAGGTAAAAGGTCAGCCCTGGCTAACCCATGTTGCTCTGTGAGGGGTACCTGGCAGTGAGCAGAACGTGGCTAGTCACTAGTCATGTTTATCCCAGTTGTGGAAATCAGGATGGCGTTTGATTCCCTTTGCGGTTGGACTGCTCACAGGAACTTCTATCCTCTCTTTAGGATCAACAGAAACCCACAGGGCCCTGTTATCAGTACCAGGGCAGTGGAGATGAGCAGGTCACAACTTCTGGATAACCACCTGGAACTTACCTGGCAGGACAAAATGAAGGAGAGGTAAACTATTTCTTTGGACCATTACAGTACTCATGTAACCTTATGGATCTGACCAACATGTCCTGGCCTGACCACACAACCACTCTGACAGCTCACATAAGTAACAACAGTTTGGCTACAAGCCAATGAGCACCTCACAATAAAGAAAATCTCTGATTGGTATTCTGAGGGTACTTACAGGATGGCATAACAGAGACCTCAGCTGTCACCACGCTGTCCAGACCTAGGTTAGACAGCGCTCCTCTCACCACGCCACACGAAAAAGCGAGGTACTGAGAAAAAACACACACACACACGAGCCTTAGCCACAATGAGACTGATATTCTTTGGCTGTATAACAAAAAGGGCCTACTTAAAGTTGATTCCCAGGGGACAGCAGTAGGAACGTCTCTTTGTGTGTGTGTGTGTGTGTGTGTGTGAGTGAGAGAGAGAGGAAGTGTATACTAACCTTAGGAGCCTGATCCAGGTACTGTTTTCCACAGGAGAGCTGAGTCAGCAGAGAAAACTTGTTGTCCTGCAGAACATAGGTGCCCTATGGCAGAGAATAAATGCATGTGTAGTAATAACCAATAATAACACATTTCAACCAACACTGAATATGCTTTAATATACTTGCAGTGGGGAATTCTTAAAAAAAACAAAACACTTTTTGCAAAAACTGTTACTATATCCTGACAGTAGTACGTGAGACAGATAATTGGCGCCCCATTGGATGGGGCTTAGCAGAGGGACACGAGCACTGGAGAAAGAGACGCAGAAGGTTTTGCATTGCTTGTTCAATTGTTACCGGCTCCAGCTTTGATTTCTTAATTTACCAACAAGGTGTCCTATAACTTAGCAGGGATTTAATGAATCTATGACCGTAAAAAGTTTTATTGAAGATTAACATTTAAGATTTTTTTAAGGTTGGTGATGTCGCAGCGGATAAGACCCGGGTTCAATTCCCCACTGTGATACATCCACCAATGTGTCCCTGAGCAAGATACTTAACCCCTAGTTGCTCCGGAGGCGTGTGACCTGTGACATACTTAGCAATTGTAAGTCGCTTTGAATAAAATGAATGAAAAGATACTCCAAGCTCATCCTTGCCATAATGATCTGTCATGATAAACAGGAATCTATTACAGTCCCATTTTCATAAAAGAGATCCAAATTCCTGTTGGTGGAAAGACCACTGATCTGAAACTCAGCTTGCGAAACCAGAAATCACACGCAACCGAAAGCGTGGCGTGCCTTCGATCTTTCGGTGTAGACCACATATTGTTACTTGACGCGTTTGTTTTACCTGATGGTTTGTTCTGAGGTTGTCGATCTGCCTCCTGAACACCTTTGTCCAGAAGTCTTTACAGATGAACTTCATCACATCCAGTTCATCCTTGAAGCTGGGAGAATCCCTGGCCAACCTAGACAGAGCAAACATTGACACAGGCACTTAACATAAGTGAGGACGCATGTCACACAGCTTGCCATTTACTGTTGCGCATACGTGAGTGCTCGTCTACCTCTCGATGAGTCCTTGTCCCACCCTGAAGCCCATGCTTTCAAGGACAGAAACACAGGCAGCTCTGTCCTGGAGAGAAGAAGTAGTTTATTAGCTGTTTGGACAAGAAGTAGCTTTGTACATGTATGCTGTACGTTACAGTGAATGTTGTAATACTGTGCTAGTGTAGGGCCATTATGATTAACAGTGGATGGTGACAGTGGCTAATGGCTAATGTTCTTCTGTACATCGTGTGTCAGTTGATTGATTCGTGCCTTTCTTGAACACACCTTGTTGTCCATCTCTCCTTTACTGGACTGCTGCTCCTTGTAAATATGTGACACGATCTCCATATGGAGGAAGTCAAACAGAGATTCGTCTGCCATTCCTGACAAACACACACAAGTCAAACATACAGGCCAATATAACGCTAAAGTAAAACAGTTTCACTCGACCTAGTTAGCCGTGCTTCAAATCGCAAGTAACAACAATATGAACGCTAAATGTACAGTTAGCTTGATAGCTAACGTTAGTGTTGTTTGCTAGCATGATAACGGGATTTCTCGCAAATGAGAGAGAATGAGGACAAAGCAATGCATGTATTTATTACATAGCTTGCAGTTAACCTTAAAACATTAAACAGACTGAACAGTTTAATTTACTGTACCTGTGAAATAACCGTAGGCTACACAGTAAACCATAAACTGTATAGAACAAGGGGTAAACACAAACCTGCTTTCCGGGGTTGCACTCGATATTAATGCCAGGGTACTCGTGGTGTTCACGTAGGCGGAAATAGCGGGAGTTAATCCCTGAAATGACGCGGGAAAGCACCCGGGGTTGGCGTATTACATGCTCTACGACCACTAAGGGCATGCAAGGAAATCAAACATCCAGTAATTTAACCTATTGTGATGGTAAACCCCGCACCATGGAGTAATGTCGGTGTAGGCCGGTAGGAATTACAAACAAATGAGATGAGCTCATGATTACGTAAACTGGCATGTCTTCCAATCGCGGCATGAAACGTCACTTATCATGTGACATTATAGCTCAGATCGGATTGGGTGTTGATAAACAAGCCACTTCCCTATCGCTCATGTGATCAGTGTTTTTGGATTGACAGAGAGGAGGTTTGACAGTTTGGGATTCTTTGGACTGTATATTTTAACGTTGAGCTTTTAGTTAACTTTACATTATAGATTCAAGTTGAGTTAACTTGTACCGAGAGCAGATCTTTGTTCTCTGTTTCACTTGTAGTTATTAAGTTAAGCCATAACACCAGTCTATATTTTGTTTTAATGTAACGTTTGCTGACGAAGTTCCGTTGTGTCCGTGTGAGCAGCCATGTCCAGCAGGTACCCGATAGTAGTGCAGGGCGAGGCCTCTGAGACCGACTCTGACGATGAGGTCTACATCACCTCCCTGCCTGCTCCACAAACCGCCACAGTCGGAGCCAAGGTTGTCTTAAAGGCTGTGTGTTTGAGTGAGAGAGAGAGAAAAGTGTGTGTTCACAAGCAACATTCAGTGACTCCAGACCTCCTGTCATGAATCTAAAATCTGCTTTGTCTGTGATCGTGGTTGCTTTTAGGTTCCTGGGGAGGCGTCTGAAACAGATAGTGAGGATGAGGAGGAGCAGGAGGACCGAGCCCCTGCACTGAGCACGGAGAGCTCCCAGATACTCAGGAGAGACCTGCCTCCTCTGATCGTAGTTAGAGACCATCCTGATATACAGTCGATAGTGGAAGACAGGCCAAGCCCCATACACAGACCGTCTGGTGAGGAATGCTGTTTAAAATTGGAATAATAAATATTTCACTGATAATACTTATTGTGTGACAGAATACTCTCAACTGTACTTTACTGGCTTTCAGTTGCATCTCATGATCTTTATCAGCGAGTGTATCATTTGCCTGTATGAATAAATGCATGTACAAATGGAAACAGATGGATTTGAGATGTGGTTGAAAGCTCTGCCAAAGCTGCAAAGTGGTCCTTTGAGTATCTCGTCACAAAGATTAAAAGTTAGCCTCCATAGTCAAACTGTACTTACTATAACTGTACTAATATAGCAAGTCGTCAAAAAATATAGGTAGCCCTACTTAAGATTATATACTATGGAGTGGTAGTTGTAGATGCAATGACAAATCATCAATTGTAGTTTATTCTTAGGCATGTCAGCATTTTTTCATTACATTTCACCATAGGGCCTGGCAATAAAACAATGATGATAATTATAATATTATAAGTTTCCTCAATAACAATAAAACAAATGTTAAATACATGTTTGTTTTAATTAATTTGAATAACGAACAAATTACCACCTAATTTTTCATTAAGATATTTATTTTGTTGAGGAAAAGGGACTGAAAAAAGATTTTGCTTAATTTAGCTCATTCATACTTGTTGAAAAAAGGTTTCATCATAATAGTTTAGAATGTTTCACCTCAGATTTTTTTAAGTGATCCACTGTCTGGCATCAAGTTTCTTCAACTTTTACCCATGAGCAAAAATCAGCTTTTAAACAAGAGATGCCACAATTAGTTAACTATTAAATTGATCTCCAATTATTTCAATAATTGATTAATTCTTCGTGGTTCTTTGATTCCAGCTTCTCAACTGTGAATGTTTTCTGGGTACTTTACTCCTCTATGTCAGTAAACTGAAGCCAAACTTTAAACTTGAAAGAAATAATGATTTGACATTTATCAAAGTAATTATTGATATCGAATGGTAAGATTTTTTTTTATTTTACTGTGATAACAATTTTGGCTATATCGCCCAGCCCTATTTCCACAATATTTAGTCATGGATGGCTTTGATCAAACTGATAAGTAAAACAATGACGTGGAGCTATTTCTGTTTGTGTAATTCTGTTTGCAGGTGACACCCTTTTACAACAGAAGCTGCAGGAATCGAACAGCCGGCTGTATTCTGACGTGGGACAGACAGTACGGCAGGTTTACGGCAGTGCCAGTAAAGAGGTATGCAGATGTGGTTGACTCTTATAATAACAATAGTTAAATTAGGAATACAGAGATCTCCCAAAATGTATTTTATGCTACACCATTACTTCAGCAGCCTCTGCACTTATTCTCCAGTGTTGCTGAACTGAATACAAATATTTGAGCACCAAACATATTGCTCTATACAAGAAAATTAATCAGAATAATGCTGCATAGTACAGAAAACAAATACTGTAATGCAAACTTCTAGCCATAGTAAGCGTATTATATAATGTCAGAGGCAGTTAGAATGGATAGAAATCACAGGAAGAGGTACATGTTAAGTGGCATACCTTTTGTCACTTCTAACTCATCAGGTTTCTGAGTGTTCCTATGATAAGCATCTTTCATTTCAGTAGTTTGGTGGCTGCAGTTTTTTGACTCTGGTTGTTTTTGTGCAAAAGGTGCACAGTGCAACAGCTCAGCTGAATACTTCGCAGAGCGCCATCATCAATGTCTCCCACAGCATCAGACTAATCCTGGACGACCTGAAGGCTGTGTCCGAGAAGATCGACATCATCACCAGCTGTCAAATACTGCCTGATATTAACATCAATAATCCAAACAATTGTACTGCTCCTACAACATAAACAAATCAATATACTGTGTATGTTGTAGTTATTATTCGAATCTAGTGATGTTTTAACATCTTCACTGGTATATTTTCTTTAAATGTCAGATAGTAGGATTCAAGCTGGAAAAAAAATAACATTTTGTGTTTACGTCAGTGTTTACAAACAGTGACTATGCATATGAACAAATATGTACAGTATATTTAACAGTCACATTATATATGTATTTATTTGCCGGGAGTTACAAAAATATACGTTCTGACATCTCATGTTTTGTTTTGTCAGTAATGTATTGAAAATATCCAACTTTTTCCCTGCAGTTACTTGTAAACCTATATAACTCAACATAATCTTTTAAGCTGACTTTTGTAAGGCGTATACTTTAGCTGTTTTCTGGTCCTCTGTGATATTTCAAAGAGGCAGACTTGTACATGTATTTCATGCTATATTTTTTTTTAAAATCGTAAAAGAAGCAAGAGCCCGTAGCTGCTCCCCCTGATGGTTCACTGACATGGCATTATATGAAAATAAAGGTGCAGATAATTGAAACAGTTAGGAAGAATTTTCTCGCTTGAAATGTTTTAGTTATAAATATCAATTTATTTTCAAAACATGAATAAAAAAAGAAATCATACAGGCAGAAAATGGTCTGTGAGGGTGTAGATTTCACAACTTCCAATAAATTAAATTGCACTGTAAACAGACTGTAATTCTGTTAAACGGACGATCTGTGAATTAAACATTGCAGTCAAAATTTGGAAAAACACATAAGGCTCAAAGTTTGTTAATTCACAAAAAAAATCTACAAAACATACAGCCTCATGGAAAAGTATTAGCTTTGAGGTAACCTAATCACAGTTACAAACATGACTACAACAGTTGGTCATATAAGACTGAATACCAGTAACTTATTCTTAACGCTTAATAATATCAGAATAACAACACTGATACGATTGACCTGTCCTGTTAATTTTGTTACATAATATTACTAAAACATTCAAAATCCTGTCTCTTCCATCCATTCATTCATTCATGATGTCCCATTTATACATCTGTCCATCCTATCTACCAGTCAACAGTTTCATCCATACTGTGTGTGTGTGTGTGTGTGGGGGGGGGGGGCATGTCAGATAGGTGTGTAGATATAAACTAACAGCACTACCAACAGGTTGAGAATTGTGCCCACAATACCCACAATGCACAGCATGTGGTCTGGGTCCACCTTCCACCTGGCCGATTCAGGAAGCACGCTGACCGGATTGGGCACCTGAAAGAGACAGAAAGGCAAGGATGGTGTGTGGCCAGTGTGCGCAGTTCACATGCACTCTAAGCAGGAATGATTAGATTTACATTTAGTGTTGATATGTTTCAGCCAGCTGATGGCGCCATCGATTCAGACTCTCACAAAACACCATACAAAACCTTGTTCTCTTCTGGTGTTTTCCCTGCTGAACCTATTATAGTCTGTTCAATTAATTTCAGTAACTGCAATTCATTTGCAGTTCAGTCCACATCTGCACACCTTCTTTTTCCTACATAATTGTAGAAATACTCTTTTACAAGTGTTACAAGTCCTGCATTCAAAATTATACTTAAGTATAAGAGAGAAAGGAATTTGTATCAAAATATACTTGTGGTCACAAAATATACTTAACGTACCAAAAATAAAAGTAGTCATTATGCAAAATGGCCCCTTTCAGAATAATATATATTATTGGAGTTTAATTATTGATGCATTAATGTGCCCATCGCTTACAGCTGTCACAGCTGGTGAAGGTTGGTCTAATTTTGATTCCACCATATACTAACTTGTGAATTTTAACCCCCAGGGATCAGTTAAGTTTTATTTTATAAAACTCTATAATAATGCATAATAATTTGTAGTTAGGTTCACTACTTGAGTAATTTGTATTTAGGTTCACTACTTGAGTAAATGTATTTAGTTACTTTCTACCATTAATAATACTAAGAATACTAAGAACACTAAGAATAAGTTATTTGTCATTTATTTATAAACACGTGATTTGTATTATATTCCTTTCTCTCTGTCTATGACAATATAGTGGTGAAAAGTACCAAACAACATGTATTTTGGTAGAAAGTAAAAAATAGTGATGTTCCCTCTGGTTAGCTGAACACATTCTTTGTCTGAAATTTACCTCTCTGCTGTTTCTCTTTCCTCTGTCATTCTTCTGTTCCGTTGGTGTGGTGGGCTCCATTTCTCTCCTCTCTCAAACTCTCTCGGAGCGCAGTAAAAAACTACTTCAACCTTAATCCCATCCAGTCCCAAAACAAATATCTCCAAATATTCACAGGGATGATGACGGGCAAGACTGTGCACCACTGGTATCACTTGCAGTCAAAGTCTTCTTTATCCTCTTCTACCAGTGCTCCAGAGACCCACAGGTCTGTAAGAAATGAGAGAATAAAGGAATGCGGTTTTGTTTCACCGTGCGTCTAATGGCACAGACTGTCACACAAGGCCAAGAAGCTGCTCAGCTGCCAAGCCACTCTTTCTGTGTCAGGCCGTATAGTAGGCTGGTAGCTGCCACTGTGTGTGTATGTGTTTGTTTGTGTGTGTTTGGTGGGTGAAGTGGCATCAAATGCTTTGTGACGTCACTAGTGCCCTTTCATTTGTGTGTCTCTCCGTGTATGTGCATTCTGCTTATTCTGATGTCTTTAGGTGTGATGGAGAGTATTTCCCGCTTTGTATCTGAAGGTGTGCGCCTGTGTGGAGACAGCTTGAAAGCACCTTATCGACATAAAGAATCTCCCCGTAGAGCAATTTGATTGTACTTAAAACTACCAGCCACTGACATGTCAAACTACTCCAGTTACCTTTAGGGAATTAGTTTCACTGTTCATTGTTCAGCTTAAAGGTATGAAGCTAAAAGAGACCCATCATACTGAAAGCAGACAGGAGGGCAGTGTGTTTGCCATTGGAGAACCTTAATTAACTCCATTGAGGCATCATTACAGGCAAAGCTGATGGGCAGGGGTGAGGTGTTTATTAGGGTTGTAGGGAAGTTCCTTCAAGCCATTTGTCATGTTATGCTACAGAGGCTTCATTAGCCTGAAAACGTAGCTTTAGGTTTAGGAAAAATATATTTGTTCATAACACAACTGGTTTCCAATTGTTAATTGCTACCCTAAATTTTAAAAAGAGTGTTAAAGTATCTATTCCCTCTCTTTGACAATATTTGTAAGTACACAAGTTACATTCACACCCTCTCATTGTGTTAACAAATAATGACAAATCTCTGAGGGTCAAACTCTAGCTAAGACCCCAAATAAGAAATATACACACATTTTCCAGTTTATTAGGTGCACCTAGCTAATAGAGATGAGAAAAGTATAGATGAGTTTAATGAAACTGCAGAGACATTCGACCTTCATTTCAGGAACCGGCTTTTCAGGTAAAGAAGCATGTCTTGGATCCTCAGATATCTATTATCTCTTTGTCCAGTTTGTGTGTGTGTGCGCGCGCGTGTGTGCGCACAGCCATCAGTCCCAGCTGTGCTAACTGAGCTCCAGGCTTTGAGAGCTGCATGAGTGATAAGTCATTCACAAGATTCATCATTCTACAGTTTGTCATATGTGCGTATAGCCACATTACCGTTGAAAATGTATATGCATACTCGTTGTACATATAAATATTTGAATAGCATTCAACATTCATGTCTTCTCTGTTCTTTCCAGACACACTGTAGCTTGTGCATTAAACAGAGACCTAGGTGCATCTGAAGAAGCTTAGGAGCGATAAACATGAACAAAAACTATGTGACTCAGTGGGTATTTTCCTTCAAGGCTGGGTGAACTTCTGAGAGAATTGTCACACTCAACAGGCAAGTAGGACATTATATTACTGTTTACATAAAACATCTTTCCTTGTTCCAGTGACAGTGGTTTGAGGCTCGGAGCCAGGGATGGAGTTAATGCTCGAGCTGGCAAACTAACGACTAAAATAGGAACGCAGCAAACAATGGACCAAGACGCTGAGGAGAGATCATAAATGTTTGTGTACAGAGAGCACAGAGAATAAGGGAGACGAGGGAGGGAGGAAAGATACTAGATTAATAAATCATACTAGATTAGACATTTGAGCTGTAGTCAGATGCATGCTGGAGACTATAGGGTTGTGTGTATGAGTCTGTTTGTTTGTGTATGAGTCTGTTTGTTTGTGTGTGTGTGGTTGTAGGCGCACAGGGCAGCCACCCATATTAGCCAGGTCAGTGGCTGTCTCATAGGGCGCCTGAGGACACACTGTTAGTTTATCTGGCTCGCTGAACAAGGCTGCACACAACAGCACAGGTCTGCCTAAGCAACTACACTACTTTAAGAGAAGCCTGCTCTGTTCTGTGGGTGATAACCTTGTTTTCATACTGCTAGTGCGTTCAAGACAACACGGAATTAGTGCGCATCTTGCTGACAAGCCAGAAGCATAAACAAGAGGAAAACCCCTCAGAGGAGCTAAAGGGAGCAGCAGCACCAAGCACTCAAGTTGAGTCTGGCTGATAAAAAGTGAAAGTGTGAAAACACAACTGAACTCGATTTTAGCCTTAATTTAGTTATTCCAACTCATTTCCAAAATCTTCCCTAAATAAGAAAACTGAAGCTTAGGGTGGCTGCTCAGCTGAAAATACTTACTTTGAGACTTTCAGGCCTGATATGATTTATGAAGTCAAGAGTCATCTGGGCAGCAGGATAAAATCCCCAGTGTTACAAAGTATGACAAAGTGGAAACTGGGAATGTGATGTATAAATCTACACGTTACATGTAATTCATGACAAAAATGTAAGTGTAGACAATAACGAGCAGATAACGTATTGTATGTGCATCTAAATTATGACGCAAACTTATTAGTTGGTAATTTAACAAAACAATATGCAAGACACACCAGCTGGTGGACACATGCCTTAAAATCAGTTTTATATTTACACTTATTTTGACATGTGAACGCAACTTTAACTTAAAATTCAAATTAAAACAGGAGAAGCCTCAGATGATTTTCCAAGTCAGATTCTGTTGGGATTTCAATCCTGTTATCCAGAACACATCCCGGGGAGGTCAGAATCACAACTAACTACAACAGATCTGAGTGGAAATATGACTCAAAACAGGCCTGAGAGATGTAAATGTCATACTTGGTTGACTTCTATCCTGCATTTGAAAAGTGTTGCAGTCTTTCCCGAGAACTACCATCCATACACAAAACATATGGCGCCTCATTTACGCTTCATGTGGGCTGTATCTCATAAGTTTTTGCCAAAACTGATTGTATAGGTGTAAGATTTTACCATTTAATAAAAAAAATATAAAACTCTATGAAAGTGGTGTTTTTCATTTTTATTGGCATTGCTATAACTATACCTTTTATACACATAAATTTTACATGAAAGTACACCAGATCTCACTGCATTTGTTCAATGGTAACTCTCAAGAACTGTAACAAGGACTGTTCTTGATCATTTTCATCAGAAATTGACATAATGTTTTTGCACAATTCTAGAGGATGAAGTTTCTTTTCTTTGAAAAAATAACTTTAACACTTGTTGACAGAAGCATTATCGATGGGGTAGTCATTCTGGATCTCCTGCTTTGCTTGATTAGTACTGTGGCAGATAATGTCCTGGAATGTTAGTCAGAAAAAGTCAGCCCAGTCACACAAAATGTTGATAATTTCTGGGGCTTTCTTACATCTGGCAATTGGTCCTGTCTGCTCAGGGAATCATTTGCAGTTAAAAGTAAAGTGAAATGTGAAACAAGCAAACATTTTCATGCATGCCAGGACCTTTTCTCAACTTTTTTATTCAGGTTGTGCTACAGCTAATGCACCAAATCCTGCAAATGTAGCTAAATGTGGACAAAGCTGGGCAGTAACAATTAAGCCTTCCCATGCAGAGCAGTGCTTTTTCCTTTCTTTCTCAGAATTATAATTTTAATTAGTTAATAATTTTGCCAGAATCTGAGATAACTCAATATTTTTCAGCTTTGCTGCTCTGAAATAACATTAAACCATCTCTTGTCCACATTATTTTCTCTTCTCTAGTCTCAGAGAATCTGTGTTCAATGTGCCCTCTCAGGCTAAAAATCAATTCAGCTCAAGCTTCATGAAAAAACATGAGAATCCGTCTTTACTTTGGCCGAACATAACACAGTCGCTGGCTGGCTCAGACTAAGAATGAACATTTGCCTGTCTTTGAGCATTGTTTTCTTGTTTTCAGTGCTTTGTGTTAACAATCCATGCCTGGGGCAGTGGCTAGGAGTCCCAGGTATACTCTGATGCACCTGTTTTTCCTCCGGCATCAAAGGCTATTTCCATAACATAACGCGTGTCTATGTGTGTGCACATAAAAGGCATCAAATTAATCTTAAAGAATTTAAAACTCGTTTGAGTTGAATAGTTAAAAAAGTACATGCTGTGTGTGTGTGTACATTGAGGAGATGGCTACTTGTCTGTTGGGACAGCAGATGGCCAGGACTCGCCCTCTAGGCTCTCTCCTCTCACTGGCCTGCTTGGCAGGGAATCTGTCATGTTAAAGCTGGTCTCCTACAAAAACTTGAACTGCATGCAGAATACACAGTAACATGTATTAGGTGCTGTAGCCATGGAGCTAGGCTTAATATACCAGCTAACAGTGTTAGACAGTTTTTTAATATATACTTAATATTCTGGCATGAAAATTGTCAAGTTTAAAAGGTTTAATATTTGTACAAAATAAATGACTTTAAGTTGTTTCAGTTTAGAAAATATTTGTTTTACTGCTGGCCTTTGAAAACTGCTATTGGTAAAAGTGGTACCTTTAAACCTTTAGTATCTAAGAAAACCTGAGCTAAACACAGTATGCTTGTTCATTTTGTCTGTCTGCCAACATCAAGTGACCGTTTAGAGGCAGCACAGAGTGAACCAATAATATCTCCAGTACTTTCAGGTATTTCAAAATAGATCCAAACATGTTTCTGCACAGCTGTGGCTTCGTCTGTCAAAGTCTGACAGCAGATGTCTGGCAAAACCAAAGGTGGCTCTTACTGTGCTTTGGTGCACACTGAAAATGGATTTAGCTCAACAAACTCCACTGTATGAGATGTGACAGGAAGTAAATGTGCGAGTCGCATCGATCTCAGGACGATGACGGTTGAATCTCCTGATGTGTGCTGAAAGATAGTGTAAAATTAAACTCATGAAAGGAGATGCAAGTAGCTAGTGTGTGGACTGGTATGTCTATCTTTGTGAGGACCAAATTGAATTTTAGGTATTGAGAATATTCTGGGGATATTTTGGCTGGTTCTCACTTCTCCAAAGGGCTGTTTAACGTCTTAAGGCTTAGTTTTAGCATATAATAATAATAATGCCTTATTAGAATCTGGGTTTCATTTCCATAGCTGAATTACTCTGAACTCATGGATATCAATGGATATTTACAACAGGCAGTGTGGGTATTAATGCCAACAATTTGGCTGAATTTTTTCTTCCAAATAAGTTAGATTAAGTGTGTTTATCTCATTGTGTTAGATATATCTCAGCGTTTATGCGAGTGAGAAAGAGTCCTAAGGCATGGCACTTATGCATTACAGGCAACTGAAATATGTACCTGTTTCGTCCGCTTTGCTGTTGAACTCAACAAAGCAGCGAATAATTCTTAGTAAAAGCTAATTATTCCTGTAGGGAAAACTGCGGCCACATGTTCATTCAACGTTCTGTAAACATGGCCGTGGAAATACTTAATCTGAACCTTCTACACTTTATAAAAATAGACCTTGGCCACCAGCACTACAGATATTTGTTGATTTCATCCCAAACATTTTCCAGTGTTGTGATAGTGACTTTTGGATTAGCTTGGAAACCTGTCCAAACAAAACACTCAATACTAAAACTAAGAGCATACATACACAATGCAACAAGAAATCTTATACGCAAAATCTCGATACTTAATCTCACAAGCTAACATGTAAAATTGCGGTAGGTTAAGTGAGCCGTCAGAGTGTCTGTGGTCATCTGCGCTGTAGTATTGTAGTATTGTGCTATGTGGAATGACAGCAGAAACTCAAGTGGATCCTCTCAGTACTATGTCTTCTCCGGCGTTAGCTTGTTGGTGGAGAAGAGAATGACGAGGATGAAGTGTAGATTCAGGCCAGCCCTCGCTGCTCGCTTGTCAACTGCATTTAGGTTTGCTCCTCCATTAGAGGCACAGCACTTAAACCTAAAATCAAATCCATAGTGACATGCAGCTCCAGTGGAAATGTTGTAACCAAATCCCAGGGAGTTTGTCGTGCCTTCGTGAGTTTCGAGACAGATGGTGAGGGCTCGCACAGAGGTTTTGTGTCCTCTTTTTTCAAACAATCCACAGTAGTTCAACCTGATTCTTTTGCCACTGTTGCATTTTTTTGTGTTGCGCTGTGACAGAACTCTGTCTTGATTTGTGTGACATTGTCTCAGTTCCACGCTTGGCCCTCTCTGATGCCACTCCGTGCCTGGCTTACAGATCCAATCACAGAAACATGACACCAGAAAATAGACCATTATTCTGTGGCACTGACCTTCCACAGAGGGATATTTGACAGTGTGGGGAGCTGCTGCACAGACTGAAACTTCAGCACAATTAAATCCTTCCATATCTGAGTGTTTTTAACGTCAATAAGCATGTAGAACTAACAGAATTACTGTAAAAATGGTAGTCTTTACATTAGGTGATTTGATCAAAGCGTAATAAAGATTATACCAATAAGTAAACATCTCAACATGCACATATGTGAAAGACCGCTGTATAAACGAAAACACTAACTGTATGACACAGGTTTATATAAAAAAGGTAAATTTCTGTTATAAATGACTCTGTGAACACATATAACTGCCTCTGAATCCTGTCGTCACCTTCTAATCAACATGTTCCTACTATTATTAGAGTGTCACTCCATTATTAGGCACAGAAACCACCTTAGAATATCATATAATCCCCAGATCAGCTATGAACCAGGGCTTGGGTACAATATATACACATGTGTGGTTGATCACTGACACACCTGGCAGTTATAGGTACAGGTGCTGTTAGGTGCGGCAAGTTATCTCATAACTGATACTATGTTTAGGCACATATATCAGGTGGAAGTGTATATATAGACGAAGACGAGCAGCAGGAGGTTAAGCACGATGCCGATGACTCCTAGCACAGCCAGGAATCTCTCCTCTGGTGTGCTCAGGTATGGACACGTTAGGTCCATGTAAAACTTTTTCAGTGATGCTACTAACTACAGAAACGGATATTTAGCAATGCGTGCAGGTGAGCGTCTGCACATCGGTATCAGTGTTTGATTCAAGGAGATTGAAAGGTGCTCAGGAGTAGCCTAACGGATCCTTTGTTGACAAGTCACTTGGCAATTGTGGTCCCTTTTAATAGTTTTAGCGGAGTGCCACTAGTGTGCCTCTTTTGTCACACCATTTAGTAAAATTTAACTGGCAGTGATAGTATCTTAAATGTCACAAAGGTGCTGGATTGTTGAAACACAGAAACCACACACTTTTATATGGCATGTGACAAGGTGGGAGATGCAGCACAGTCTAATATGACCACCATCAGATCAAAGACACTTAAGAGCTCAGCTCACAGGAATGCTATGCCCCAGTCATGGATCAATGTGAACATATCACCTAACAAACTGTCAGCAGTTGGCAAGCTATTATGCAAAATTGTCTTGAAGAATGGGAGGATGCGATTTAAAGGGGACGTCCAACTGTTGCTCCTTCTCTGTGATTGGCGGCAGTTTTTAGTTCACAGAGAGCTGAATAATCAATCAGTACATGAATACTTAAAGAGGGAGGTGGCAGTGTGGAAAAAAGTTGTGGATCTGCGCCAATGTCCCTCGTTCAAGTCCTGCAGACAAGCTTAGGTGACAGACGTGTAGATGTAGACAAATATGACCACTAAAAGATTGAGGATGGTCCCAATGATGCCCAGCACGGCTAGAATTCGCTCCTCGCGGTCATTCGTGGAGTCTTCCTCTCTCGCGTGAGCGCTGCAGACATAGCGGCTGCCGGGGACCATGGTTACCATCACAGAACCCCACCCCCACAGGGCGCGATGCCTGGATATGGAGACAGTGATAGGTCAGAGGCAAAGTGGGAGACGGGAGGGGGGAATTAAAGAGAGGAGAGAGGCACATGGAAGCAGAGAGAAACAAGTTAATCATTTCTGACGTAGATGAAAAGTAGATGAAAATTGTCCCTCTCTACCCAGACACATCTTTTTAGTTACAAACGTTTTCCTGCATGTATTTGGGCATTACATATTAATCACAGAACTATACAAGTTAAAAGTCAGTGGAGAAAGAAATTAAATTTTGACTTTTTAGATTAATATTTTAGAATATTTCTTCTTCTGTTTTGTCTTCCATTTTCCTCATTCTTCAACTTTCTATCCACATTTCCTCCCTTCTTTGCATATATCTTTTTTTTTTCGCTCTTTTCCTCCTCTCAACTCTTTTCACTACTTCTTCCTCTTCCTTGCCTCGTCTTTTCTCACTTTGACATAAGACAGCATCCTACACAATGACACCCTGCAGTGTTATGAAGGAATTGCTGATGTGTTGTGTGCAGACCTTCTTCACGTTCACCTTCCTTCTTCAGTCACCTTTTCTCCTACTCTAAGATTTCTTGCACCATGCTCTTGTGTAATACTTTGTAATTCTCCTCTTTAACTTCCCCTTATTCCTTCTCAACTAACTCTGATAAATGCTTTTTTTTATCATGTGAACATCAATCCAATTAAAAGTAATTGGCACAGTATTTCACAAAATTAAAGCTGTGTGTGTTAAAATTCTTTATAGTCCTTAGTCTCCCTCTTCTTTCTGTCATTTTGTTTACCCTCTGCTTTGTCATTAACCATTAGTGCAGATGTGGGATCAATGGTGTCTGTTAAAAATGAATGAGGTTGGGTGCTGATGAGGGAATTATCTGCAGTCCTCTGAGACTGTATGGGAGCACAGAGAGAAGGGGAGACGAGGACACAGAAAGTGTGTATGTGTGTGTGTGTGTGTGACAATAGGTCCTGGGCTTTACAGGATGTGAGGAGATTTTCACTACACTAAAATGTCCACAATTAGATCCGCTCATTTTGTCAATAATTCTCATCAGTTCAACAAAAGCACAGAGAAACATAGTTAATTCAAAATACAGTTTTATAAAGCATTGTTATGGACAATCTCAACCTCTCAATCATCACAACTTACTGATATCAAAGACTCTAGATAACTCTTTGTTGTCCACATACTAAAGATGTGAACACAAAAAGATGCATTCTCCAAAGTTTCTCTTCTCTTGCCTCCAGAATAAATCCAGAATTGTAACCCTAACCCTCAAGGTAAGGGGCATCAGTGCGCACGTGTAGGCGTAGCGTGTATGTGTGTGTGAGTATGAAGAGGAACTTGCTGTAGACAGGGAACGTCTCCGCACCTCGCGGGACGTTCGGATCATTTATCACCGTTGATGAACCACACAAAGAATATTACATAATTTTAAAACAGCACGAAAATAGACCCACGAGGAACCGCGAAGTGCATGCAGCTGTCGGCCACATGGCATGCACGCAAAACTCTACACAAGGCCGGTGAATAGCAGGCCAGCAGAGAGAAAAGGGTCAAAAATAAGTAGGAAATATATAGGGTAAATAGCTCTACAACTTGTCAAGATTAAAGCAGAGTTTCCGTGTGTTACCCCCCATGCCCTCGCAATTCTGATTGGACTATGTAAATCCTTAGTTGGGGACAGCCCTACTGGGTATACATTTCAACATCCAGCAGCTGTTCTTGCAGCCTAGGGGTGCGTGCGTGCATGCGTGCGTGCATGCGTGCGTGCGTGCGTGCATGCGTATATAGAGTAAGGACAGGGACATAGCACTCTTTTGATGCAGCTTAGGCATTCAACAGTGTAACGTGATTATTTCCAACCCAATTAGGGGGAATGCATGGGACATGTCAAAACCGATGCTCAAAACTCAGGGCCATAAAGCACACAGAGGATCCCAAAAAAAGAAAAAAAAACAAAGAGTAGCAAAGAGTAAAGGAAAGTATAATGGATAAAGGAGATTAAAAATTAGAGGTCATTTGCTATTACACTAACACAGATTACCTGTCCAAGTGTTGACTATAACAGGTAATCTTGTTAGAAGGTTTTTCCCATAATATTAAATCAGCATGATTTAATACAGCATTTTACCTACACACTGTAAATAAAACTGTGCATGTGAGAAAAGAGCTGGCCGCTTTTTAGAGTGTCTCCCACTTTATCCAGCTAAACCATCACATGAAACTGAAACCCTTGCCTTTAGTGTGATGCAAAAGCTGCAAAACAGTCCATAAAATCAGGTTGAGCTACGTCACATACTGTATGTAGTACTGTATGTTACATAGAAACACTTTTATAAGGTTGTATCAGATGTCAGACTGTTGGCTTTTTAAGCAGTGTGCCGTGTCTTTTTGAAATGTGTTGTCTTTTACTACAAGTTTGGGCCGCTGAACCAAATGTACCATTAATGTGTTTGATGCTTGTAGCACCGCAAAACAATGATATTTTGTATTTTCTTACATTTGCAAATGTTTTTTTTATTTTATAGTGATTCGACATTTTGTTGTTGTTGCATTAGAGTACCATAACTGTAAAACTTTGCATGAAACAAAGTGTGCAAACAACGGTCAGATAATTTCCACTCCTAAGTGGGTTGTAGCCTCACCTGAACTTTGATAATGTACCCCAAGTTTTATCTACTTTCCTTTACTCAAGTTCAACTGCTGTGTCTCTTTCTTATCTCTTCTACTACCGTATTCTACTTGTTTGAGCCAACACCAGAGTTCATGCACCGTTTGTTTTTTCTTATTGTTCAGTTCCTGCATGTGTGTCGAATTCTGTGACTTCCTCCAAGCATTTACAGGATTTACTTTTAAATATGTTTGTTACAGTACACGTCTATGTGTGGATGTGTGAATGTGTATAGAGGGGGAGAGAGTCGGCACTAGACGTGCACGTCTCAATCAGATGTGATTGATGATGTGTGCCTTGTGATAATTGATGTAATTTTTTAACCTTATCTGTTAAATATCTAACGTAAAACATTAGAATATAGTTTTTATCTGTCATTGTGATGTGTTTCCCATATCTCGGCTGTTGTCGCTGGTAGAAGCAGTTAGTGGCATTTCAATCTGAGGGATTAGTTAAAAAAGTTTTTATTTAGAAATCTGTGCTCCTAATTATGACCTCCCTAATGTGTTCATCTTTTTTTCACGCAAAGAAGACATTATTTTAGGAAAACGTGTAAATAAAGTATAACGGTGAAAATTGGAGGCAGCTCGTTGCAAAAGCTGCACATGCCAAATATTATTCTATACTTATTTTCAACCAAACAATTAGCGCTGTGCAGTGCAAGGGAAGAGTAGCACTGAGGAATTCCCCAAAGACTTCCCCACTGAATGAGAAATGCAAGGCAGTCTGCCCCATGAAACTCATGCATAATATTTATTATAATTGGTGCAGATAGCTGCTCTGCCTATTTCACTGTCAAATTAATTTATGTAGGGTGTGATATAAATTCCCTACGGATGGTCCATCTGCAGTGCAGTGTGCATTGCTGTGGGAGTCTGAGTCTGAGAGGTTACATCGTGATTCAATACCAAGGTAATCTCACGGAAATATCTATAATAGATATACCAGCCTGATAGATACATACTTTAAATTACAGCAGATTGCTTAAGTGGAGAAAGACACTAATTAAGTAAAATAACATCTTTAAAGATTTTGCTTTAGAACATTTCATTTGGGTGTTGGTTGGATGTGAACAGTGACGTTTGTGACCACTAATCTGTGCAGACATAACCAGGAGGTTTAATGTTCTTTAAGGACTATTATATCCTGCATTACACAGGTAGTGCTTCCCATGATTCTGTGTAATGCTCTCAACAAGCTTTGTAAACAAAATTTTTAATTTTAGGTTGGCAATGCTATACGTTTATATATCCATCGTCAACCGCTTATCCTGTGTACAGGGTCGCGGGGGGCTGGAGCCAATCCCAGCTGACATCAGGCGAAAGGCCTGGACAGGTCACCAGTCCATCGCAGGGCCACACATAGACAAACAACCAGTCACACTCACACCTAAGGACAATTTAGGGTCACCAATCAACCTTGGCCGCATGTCTTTGGACGGTGGAAGGAAGCTGGAGCACCTGGAGAGAACCCACGCAGACTCCACACAGAAAGGTTTGAACCCACGACCTTCTTGCTGTAAGGCAATAGTGCTAACCACTGTACCACCCGCCCTTACATTTATAGATATATATTTAAAATAATAACAATATACAATGATATTGAGGTCTTGGATTTTAAAACATTGAGGGTAAAAGCGTGTGAGACCAATAAGGTTTTCAGTCTGGATTTAAAAACTGCAAGGTATGGTGCATTTCTAAAACCGCCAGGCAGTTTGTTCCAGCGCTCTACTGCATAATGACTTTCTACTTGTTTTGATTTGGCCCTAGGCACCACTAGAAGTCCACTCCCCTGTGATCTAAGAGGGTTATATTGATCAAGCATATCAGTCATGTATATGGCCAGCTCCATGTACAGATTTATAAATAAGTAATACAACTTTAAAATCAATTCTGTGGCTTACTGGCAACCGGTGTGGAGGTTTTAGAACTGGGGCAATGTGGGCTGTCCTTTTGGATTTGGTCAGAACTCTTGCGGCTAAATTTTCAATGGGTTGCAGGTGCCTGATGGTCTTTTCAGGACAACCTGTCAGAAGTCCACTGCACTAGTCGATTTAGCAAGAAATTAAAAAGCATGAATGAATTTTTCCATATATAGTTTTCTCATAAGGTCCCCAGGGAGGAAGAAAGTCTGTTGAGGGTGAAGTTTTATTTTATCAGACACAATAATTGCAGTTTCATTAAGAGAATGATTTGTTTTCCAACAGTATTGCAAAGACTGGACAAAATTACACTCTTTTAATGGTCATGTTGGGATTGGTTAAATAGCAGGAATGCAGATTTGTGGAGGACTGATAAAAATATTTTTGCCTGTGGCCATCACATGGTATTTTACATTACTTAATTACTGCTGCTTTTAACCTCTATGTGCCTTCAGGGAGAGATCACATGGAACATTAATGAGCTCAAATATATAAAAAGGCAGATAGAGGACAAGCAAAGAGACAGACAGTTAAACACAGCGTAGAAGACAGAAACACAGACAGACCGAGAAATAGGCAGCCAAATACAGACATTGTTAGAGGCGTGTGTTAGCAAATCGTCAACTTATAAAACGCATTGTCCCGTTACAAATACTGTAGTAAGAGATACAGTAATGAACATAAACCTAAGAGATAAATAAGAGCTAGAAGAAGGTAGGATTTTGAAAATGGAACGAGATTGCTGGCAATACAGGATAGGGGAAAAGATGGAGAAAGATTTGTGTGTATGTGTATATGTGTGTGTGTGCGTGTGTGCGTCCGTGCGTACGTGCATACGTACGTTAAATAGCGGCAACCTTTCCTTGCAAGATGCTCCAATAGTCTCGCTCTGATCTTAGCAAGAGGTAGACCAGACTGTCTCCACATTCTGTAATTACACATACCTACCGCGTTACACACACACATTTCATTTCATGTGTACTCTAATTTCCTACTTCATTCATTTTGTAATAGATAAGTATACCATTTAAACATTTCTCTCACATGTGCTTCCATGGCACGTTTTTCTCTACATCTACATGCACTCACTCAGAGTCTGTCTCTAATCAGTCACCTGTTCACTGGTTTCCACTTATTATTTTATATTCACCATTCTTTATGTCAGTGCTGTGCATCCTATGTCATATTGTGTATACTGTATACTATATATTTTTTCCAGCATCCTTTGCACTATGTTCCATCACACTGTGTACATGTGTACATGTATGTGTACCTGTATATCAAATCCACCTTCAACATGTACATAATGAGAATAATAATTTACTCTTGCATCCTTTGCACTCAGATCACTGCACTATTTGTCAATATGTCTATATTGTTTTGTTCATAGTGTGTATGTTAGTGTTGTCTATACTGTAGTTTGTGTGTGATTATTATTTTATTATTGTGTTATGGTATTTTTGTACGAGTAAGCACATCGTGAGCAATGTACAATCCTCGTATGTGTACACATACCTGGAAATGAAGCGGATTCTGATTCTGATTCTGATTATTTTTGAACAGGAGTGAATATACAATAGAAATACTACATATACACAAGTGTGAACCTAGTTTACCCACTGCTGCAGTGTGGGTAGAGTACATCCAATAGTGAATGTCCTCAAAGTTTTCACTTGAACTGACTGGCACTGACTGCAATGCTGTTAATGAGCAAGTGACAATGCATGAAGAGTTTTGTCTTCTGTATCATGTTAGCAGGCCATACATTCACATTGGATTCAGGGAACATTAGTTTTACTCTAACATCACAAAATTCTCTGTATACTGTATATGCCCACTTACCAAGCAAAAGGCCTCAAGGTGACATTTAATCCATAGATGTATGACTGTTAACTTTGCATTGCTGTGGAATGATTTAACATTAGATATTCAGTTTAAATTGTGTTGTTACATCTGGATGTGAAAAGGTTGAGTCACATTGCATCAGCTCTGTGTGTTGTCTACCCAGCAATCGTAGTCAAGCGCAGAAGTCTTGGTAGATTTCATAACAGCAAATTCCATAGCAATGAATTTCATTGTGTTTCCCACAGCCACCAGCGCATCACCTGTGCCACATGGCTGGCAGCTGTTAGCCATCACCGAGCCAGCAAAAATAGAACGTTGGAATGAGTGTTTTACCGCTCATCCTCTTCCCAACATGTCCTTTCAGTAACGTGATAAACTTAATCTGTTTTAGGGTGCCCTGGGGGCCTAAGGGTTTAAGATGCTGACCATGTAATCGCAATATTCCAGGTTCAGCTGGAGGCCTTTGTCATTCCAATGCTCTCTCCCCTCATTTCCTGTCAGCTCACTGTCTAAAATTCTTCTTAATACTAACAAGTAAAGGTAATCTATCCCACATGTCTGTCTGTCTGTCCTTATTATCTGTATGATTACTTAGTCATGCAAATAATCACTGGCTGCCACTGACTCTTCACACATCAACATAACCAAAAATGTTGATCCGCTGTAGAGTGAAAGCTAGATAACGTGACGGTAAAGCTTGTTAAGCTGTGTAACCTGGTTTCATAATGAGGAAATATGATCTTTTAAACTCCAGCCATGTATTTGATTATTGGCAGGCAAGACAAAATACCAATAATGTCAAATGCAATTTAAACAAATTGAGTTTAAATTGTACTATCAGCTGTACATCCAGTAGTGATCAGAGAAAGAATGAATAGCAGGAATTGATTGGAGTCATTGATTGATAGTGTTATCGACTCCACAGAAAGTCTCAATCAATATTCTTACAGCTTTGGTGTTTGCTACAATACAAACACTGTTCAGTCTTTGCAGAGATCAATGACACACACACACACACACACACACACACACACACACACACATAAGCACATAAAGAGGGCTTGTGTGGGCCACGACTAAGCTGAAAAGACCAGTTATTTGTTGCTAAAAGATATCTCTTCACACGGTTAGCAAAAAAGCTGAGGTTTACTGTCATGTTGTAACGCTTACATGTAAGAACATACACGCTTTACTTTTGCAAAGTCTCTTATTTCTGTACCTCTTTCTCTCTGTCTGTCACACGCACACACACACACACACACACTGAGCTGATGCACAGAGGGATGGTGTGGGAACCAGATCCGTATGACACTAGAACGTTCCACAGCCTCGTTACGAGCTCGGCTGGCCAGCGCTACTGGAATACGAGGCCAGCGGCCATGAAGCGACTGTCACATCTCCTCAACCACAGCTGTGCTTCCTTCATGCATGTGTGTTTTTTATAGTGTGTAGTGTATGTGTGCCTGTGTGTGAGGAGGAACTGGAGACGGAAAGAGAGAATGAGTGTGCGTACTGGAAGACAGAATGACTCCATATAATGTGCCGCATTCATGACAGAAAGATAGGAGAGAAAGTGTGTGAGTGTGAAGGAGAAAGTGTGGGAGAAAGACCATAGTCTGTGTGTTTGGTTCTGTTTGCTTGGCTCACAGATTCTAGAAATGCACTCTTCTTTTTTGCTGAATAAACTAGATCCGTCTATGATGCTTTGAGAGGTCCTCAGCTCTCTTGCAAAACAACAAGAAAGTGTATGAAGCTGCTATAATGTTAAATACATTTCTCATACAACCACAAGAAAAATTTGCCTGACAGCAAATTCCCATCAAGTGAAAGCCTTCCACCCTGCCATCCAGAGGCAATAATGCTCGTATATCATCTCTGATTTCAGCTTCGGACTTCACATTTCATGCAACCACAACCTCTTTTGTAGTTTTTGGTGTTTTTGGAGAAAGTTAACACATTTAATTATGTTAACAAGCTATACGCCACGGTTACATTATCAGTAAAGCTGTGTTTCTCTGGTCATTAAATCTTCTGATGTAGCTGATATTATGCATATCATGTGAATTAGCAACCACCCGTTGATGTTGGTACATGACTACAAAGAAAGTTGAATATGGAAACAGAGATAAATACTTTGTTGTTGTTTTTTTTATCAGATTGTTGATTGCTGCATTCAGGGCTGTGACACACATTAGTATAACAAATTAGTGTATATTTTGTTGAAACATGTACTTTAGGCAGCCTCTAAGGTTAAATGTGCCTTGGGGTATGAGGTATACATTCAGGTGCCTGGATGACATGTGACCCACTGGGCACGGTGTCATGTGACCTTCATTAAATTGTGTGAATCAGTGGACCAACATATCATGTGGATCACATGACCTGCATTCAGCAATGTGATCTTAATACTCCTGAACTCTGAGTCCTCTAATTGACCTTTCACCTTTGCCCTGGGCCAACCTCCTGAGGTAATATGATGCTCACTGGTGGATATACTGTGCAGTGTACATGCACAGACACTGGCTATGAAAGTGTACCATACATGTAGAAACGTGTACTCACCACACATTGCACCAGGGGCGCAGCCTAAAGCTCCTTTCCTTCCCCTCTTTATCCGAGCATGTTGTCAGTTTGTTCTTCTCCTCCGTATTGCTGGTTTCTTTCTCCTCCCTCCCCTCCTCTTCCTCGCCCTCCCTGTTCCCGCTCTCACTACTGCTGTTCAGGTCCAGCTCTGTCACTGGTGGGGAGAATCCAGGCAACACACACTCAGACACACACACACACACACACACACACACACACACACACACACACACACACAAACACAAACACACACTGCTCTGGGCGATGCTTTGAAAATACACTCAGACACTCAGCTGGGTTCAAAGCTTGGCGCACCCACACACACACCTCTACACCCACACCCACACAAGCATACTGTACATACAAACACAGCCGAGCTCCTCGACAGTCCTTACTCCCCCACACAGCCACACACACACATAAACATGCAGCTGGTCTATCCGCAGCTGAATGGAGACGACGTTTTGTCAACCTGCGTTATTGTCGTGATGTTTTGAGGAATCTGTGATTCAGGTCAAACTGAAGGAAGTCTCTATCTTAATTTCTTGATGACATCAAGTTGGAGAATCACCCATGATGGCTTGTTAAGTCATGGAGACGAAATTGAAGTATACATCCTGCTTCCACTCAAAGGATCCTGCACATCAAAACATTTCCACACTTATATTTCCTCAAGCCATAACAGCAAATCCCCAGTGGCCAAATCTCTGTGAGGAGGACATTTTCAGAGCTAGCTGGAACATTTCCAATTAGTTCAGGACAAAATAAATATAGGCGACATGTCTGAATGCTTCAGAAGTGTTTAGCTTTTCTCATCTGGCAGTGATGTGCCCCCAGAGTGGTTGTCAAAGCAGGTACAGCATGCCAGTCCAAAATAGAAACGTGTATTCATCAGCCAGGGCTGGTTCTTGTTCTCGTAGAAAAGAAGAAATTGTTCCAGTCTTGTGGTTTCAGTGATCTCTCAAATGTTAAGTTTCTTCTTCCTTGATGTTCCCACACATGATGAAGATCCCGTTCTTCTCTCTGTAGTTATTCCACTGTCCCCGAGAAATTGCACAAGCTGGCCAAAAAAAAAGAAAAAACCTCCAGGATTCTCTGCTAATTTGTATCTCTTGTCTCAATCTGCAACATTTCAGTGTAACACCCCTTGGCTGTCATCTGACGCACTTAACAGGTTGTCTATTTCTGTGTAATTTCCCTTAGAATAAAAAAATCTGCTGTGTTTCTTCTTCTTCTTCCTTCTGTTTCCCCCTTCTGTGGTGCAAGGAGCCAGCTCTTTCCAGAGTGGCCTGTCAGCATCAATATTTAACAAGAACCTCTTGCTGTGTTGCTGTCACAGTTAAAGTTTCCATGTCCCTGTCGTTGTGCGTTGGATGACATGTTCTCTGGTCTGCAGAGTTGTCTGTTCGGTTCTCTTACTGTCCTCTTTAGCTCTTGCTATCCGCTTGGATGTTGAGTTTAGCTCTGATGTAGCCTGATTTTTTCCTTACCTCTATGTTCCCTTTTTTTGGGGGGGGGGGTTCTGCCTCTCTACCAGTTTCTATTTTCCCTGTCTCTTCTATTTTCCCTGTCTCTTCTGTGGTCAACCTTCATGAAGCTTATTCTCCCATATGCAAACCTCAGTCATGCCCAAACCCTGTGGCAAGACACAGTCACTCAGGACTTTCTCCCATGTAGATGCTGAAGTACTTTTTCATTAAGGCTGTCCTTCTGTCTTTCACTGTTTTCTGTCCACTGTCCACCCGGCAGCAAACCTTCATTCAACCTTCAACCTCTTCACGCGTTCCTCTCCCTCTAGCAAGCTGATTCACTTGGCCTATATCTCACTCACCGCCTGCCAGTGTGGCTTCTTCTGTCCTCATCCTGTCCTTTCTCTGTCTAATGACTGCTCAATTCTGTTCAGGTCCTCTATTTTTCCCTACAACTCTCTCATTGTTCCTCTTTCTCCCTCTACCTCTCCTCTTGAATACAGAATACACAGTATTCTAGCTGCTGTGCTCTGAGTCATACTGTTCTCTCCTCCCTTTTCCTTCCAGAAGCAAATTTTTCTTTGTTTTTTGGTCTCCTCTCTCTCTAACACATTAGGATCCATTCAGCCTTCCTCTACACCAAAATGACGCCTCAGCATCCTGCTGACACAGATGGAGAGACAGCCTGTGGATAGACAGTCAAGCAGAGAGAGAAAAGAGAAAGAGAGAGATACACTTTCTCTCACTAGAGACAGGAGTCTGCCTTTAAAAGCATCCCTGTTTCGCTCTGTGTTCTTGCAGCTGCTAATAGTCTCTTAGCTTGATTACAGGTGGTTTCTCCTCTCCTCTTCTGACAGGAGCCGTGTCTTTTCACTCGCTGTGGTCAGTGATGGAAGGCTGGTCCTTCTTTTCCTCTCTCTATCCCCTGATACTGCATGTTCACAGAGATGTTTGTCAGAGCCTGGGAAACAAAAATCAAAATGAAAGCTAAAGCAGTGGTAAATGTTTCCTGAAATCACACAAGTACAGCAGAGAGACACTCTGAGAGGGACAGAGAAGAACTGGAGAAGAAGGATGTGTGGAGTTGAATTGAATTGAAAAAAAAAGAGAGAGATGCCTCAGGATCTGTGGAAGTGACAGCAGAGGAGATATGGAGGGGGAGAGAGATGAGGCAGGGAGGTGGAGGAGGGTGAAGAGGTGGGTAGGAGGTTGTGGAGGAAAGCGTGTGTGGGTGGAATGGAGAGATGATTGTAAGATGGTAAGATGGAGAAGGGGTGAAGCAAGAGGAGGAGCTTGCCATCTGAGGGACAGGAATGCAAGAATGGATGTATGGAGGGATGAGTGGATAGAGGTAGAGAAAGATGGACATCTGCATGGATTTATGGATGGATGAATGTTGTGACAGCTTGACTGCTCTTCTGTGACATCCAGGACATCTTTGATGCAGCTGTCATGGAAGCAAAGGCCTCTCTCAGTCTCTAATTAATCAAAACTGTTATATAATATATTACAATATTATTTATGATATTATAATATATCGCATGAATATTTTATAATGAGCTTATAGCTGTTTGATATTTTACCTGTAAGGGAATCCTGTCGTGCACTGCTCCTCCTCTCTCTGCTAATTTCTACCTCTCTCATCGATTCTCTCCATCCCTCTGTCTGCTCCTGCAGCCTCAGTCTGTGCTATCACTAAAATGCAGCATCCCTCCTCCTCCTCCTCTCTCTGTCTCTCCCACAGTGTTTCCCTCATTTCCCTCCCTCCCTCTCCACCCGTTTGCTCCCGTTCTCTCTACATTTGTCCTTCTCTGCCTCTGCCTCCCACTCTCTTCCTCCATCTCCATTCCTCCTTTTATTTCCCCTACCACCACCAACCTCACCCCACCCAACCTTCTGTCTCCCCCAATATTCCATCACTACCTCTCCACCTCCCCTCTCTCTCTCTCTTGCTCTCTCGCTGTCCTTGCCTTGCTTTTTTCGCCCTTTCCTCACTAAGAGAAGCTTCGAGAACAGTGGACAGGCTCTGGGAATGGAAAGCTCTCAGGACATGTGAACACCATTCATAACCCTACCACATAAATAATGCACACATTCATATTTTCTCATATGCATGCACATGTGGAAAAAACACACACACACACACACACACACACACAGACACTCTCCATCTGTCTTTCTCTCCATCTGGCTGACAAAAACAAAAACACATCCTGCTGAAAAATGAGCATACAACGGGGCTTTTGTTATGTATGCATACCTGAGCAACATTCACAGTGCAGCCACTCACACTAAAACACAATACACTAAAGGCATCAATAATGACGGGGTTTTTTTCAGACCACAAGTGCAAATTGATGAAAGATTGGACAGAGAAAATATGTTGTGCATGTTCATGTGACTGCAGCCATGCACAAACATATGCAAACACACACAGTGCACACGCTGGGTAAAAAACGTTCTCATATGAAATTAAGTTCAACTAACAGCGACCGATAGGTTGACCAAGTAAATGAAACATCAACCCCATTAAGTTTGTGTAACCAGAGAAAGAAGAACAGAAAGAGTGTGTGTCTCAAAATGCGAATTTTGTATCTGTGTGCATATATATGTCCGGATGTCTCTGTTGATACATATTAAACATTTGTGCATACATGTGACCAAGCGGGAACCTCTGGATCTGAAAAGTGAGGCCAGTGTGGAAGTGTCCTAAACCTGGACTGCACTGGTTGCAAAAAGAAGTCAGATTGTATGGAAGTATATGACAAAATTACCCTAACAAAATGACTTCTCAGTTGAATTGTTACCTCAGTAAACACTTCCCTCATGAGTTTATGATCTCAATTGTTAGTTTCATGTCTTCTTCAACACAGCATGATGTTCATTTTGTAAATGATGGTCCCATTTAGAGTAAAATAGACAATAAAGCAGGGTATGCTTTAGGGAGTGGCTATCACGTGATCAGTCACTATCACGGCAACCTGTCAGGCATATCAATGCATATCGCTCCCCATTCTCCACCCTCTCATCCAAATATGGTCACTTTTGGTTAAAAAACAACAAGATGGCGACAACCAAACTCAAGGCTTTAAAACGGTAGTTCAAAACCAATTGGTGGCATCATGATGGCTTTAATACAGTCACATCGTCCTTTGTGTGTGTGTGTGTGTGTGTGTGTGTGTGTGTGTGTGTGTGTGTGTGTAGCTTCTTAGAGCTGTCCTTTTAGCCTCTAGCATCACCCAGTGCCACCATCTGTGCGGCCAGCCAGATGGGAAGGCAGTGCACGAACTGTGTCTGTGTGTGTGAAAGTGAGAGTGAGTGGGAGGAGACATTTTTTTGGGTGAACTAATTAAACATCATCATTAGTTATGCTGCTTATTGTTTTGTAGAAATTAAATTTCTGCAATGTTTTCCTTTAATTGCAATGAAGACTCATCCAGGTCACAGGACAAGGCTTAGTCTTGAATAGGTCGCAATTTCCAAACAGCCCACTCTAGTTGTCTCTGATTTATTGCTTCTGGGTACATTTAAATGTGATGTCATAAAAAAACCCTGTATTTTTAAATTGTATATAGGATTTTATTTGACCATTTGGCTCACTATTAGCCTGTTTAGCTAGCTGCTAAATGAAAAATGCAATGAGATGACTTTTGTTATGAATTGGCGCTTTATAAATAAAACTGAATTGAATTGAACTAATTAAGCTACACAGATTTACAGAGGAGCATGCAGACAAATCTGATCTTGTTATTTAGGAGGCCAAGCACATGGGGTGATGAGACCCTTTTGATTTTTTAGTCTTTGTTTCTTCATTTTTTATTTGTCTTTCTTTTCATACTACAGCCTGGCAGGCCATTTGACCAAAAACTGGCGTTAAATAGAGACCAGTCAGAGACCCATGGTTCCACATTTTGGGGTCAATAAAATAATCCCTCTCATGACACCATCAATTCTGTAAATCTTAAATCAATTTCTGTATGAACAAGCTTGTTTTTCAGAGCCCACTGTGGTAAGTTCAGCAAATATATTGTAGTCTAGTCATGATTCATCCAAATAACTGCCAGTATCGGATGTTTGGTGCATCTATAAATATGATTAATTCTTCAACAGGATATTGATAGTCCCAAGTGTTTGCCCACATACAATGCAGGACTAATTCTCATGACTAATAACCACTGATTTAAAGTCATAGGTAAGCATTTTCAGTGCAAAACATGAACTTTCAATTGAGAACGTATGTGTTATTTATAGTGGCTGACGAGTGGCTCATGAGTCACATTGAAAAACAGCTGAATAGGCTTATGACTTTCTTACATTTTGAGTGAACAGTTTTAACATTTGTACAGTTCTGTCAAGAACATTTACACCGTGCGTTGCTGACCATTTTACTATGACAAAGTTGGCAGTGAGCCATATCTCAGCAATGCTGTCTCCAATCAGTTAAACATTCTCAATGGTTTGATAAGTGCTTCTTTAGCTTTGCCTATGGAATTGTTGCTTGTTTTGTGTATTGTGTTTTTTTACACAAAAACACCCAGTGAGGAGACAAGAGGGAGAGAGGCAGTCGCACTGTAGCACTAGTAACACCTTTTGACGGTCCACTGTTGATTCTGTATGAAGCTGACTGTCAAGAAGATTAGTCTTAACAGATAAATAAACTGTCATGGCAATGCCCACTCAGTCTCCATCTCACGTCCCTTACAGTGAAACATCTGTCTCTCTAGTCTCTGTTGCAACATCATCCATTTAGGGTCTGAATGCTGAATGCATTTCCGTGCCAAATATGTCACATCAAGTCAACATGACTGCACTTTTTACTTGAAAGGCTCCTCCGAATGTGACAGAGGAATACATGTTCTGTCTGTACTAGAGCTGCAATGATTAATCGAATAATTGATTAGTTCTCAACTATTAAATTAATTGTCAACTATGTTATGTTGTTAATCAATTAATTGGTTTTCTTAAAGAATTTTTTTTTTCGCTTCCAGCTCTTAAATGTAAATATTTTCTGGATTCTTTACTCCTCTATGACAGTAAACTGAATATCTATTGGTTGTGGACAAAACAAGACATTTGAGGATGTCA